TTACTGTGTTATTTGTTTTAATTTAGGAAGTATTTGTTACAAAGGCTGATGTTTCAACTTTGTTTCATTCACAGAGAGACATCTCCGCATACATTTCAATTAGACTTATTCTTCAACAATGTAAGCAAACCAAGTGCCCCTGTTTTCGATAGGTTGGGAAGGTATGTACCTGCTAGGTAATTTCACCGGAACTCATGAGTTAGTAAGCAACACCTTTTAATTGATTCTTTAGATAGAAGAAAAGGATATATCTGCTGGTAGACCCAAGAACACAGGGTTTAATTGTGTCAAGGCTGCAGTAAAGAAATGTCGAACTCCTAAGGAGATGTTGAGTTTATAAAGTAAAAATTTAAATGTGTGAAACAGACATTGTTTGTTAACTTGTTACTCATGCATGCCTTTCTTACATACATGATACTTTCACACATGATAGTAACCTTCTAATTTGGAAAATATTTTTGATTCTAATATAGACACATTGAGAACTAATATTTTATATGTGTCTTTCACATCACACTACTGTGCAATTTATAATTCCATAGCCACATTTTGTAAAATGAAACTTTTGTAAGTAGATAACCCCTTTTTTGATTATTTAGTACATGCTACGTAGTTTTTTTCAGGTTAGGTATTATTAAACCTGTTGTTATGATGTCTGCAAACAAATGGGTTTACTTAGAACTCATAAAATAAAAAAAAATTAAAGGCAGCTTAAAAATGAGAAAATGTCTATTCCTGTCAGGAATTAACAGTTTCTTAGACATCACTCATTCTGTTATTGATCCTTCTCATTTATTATTAAATTATGTTAATAATTTAACTCTTTTTTTAAGTGAAGGGAAACCTTAGATAATTTGAAGCAGGTAATTTTTAGTATTTGGAGGTGTTTTTATGTTAGTACCTACTTAATAAAAACAGGTGCTTTTCTTAAATTTTGGTTGTAGTCTACATTTTTGTATGACTGTAATGCAAAGTGGTTCTTTACTCTGGCTGTACATTAGAATTACCTGGTGTGCTTTTAAAAATTTACTGATGTCCATACTAACCCCAAAGCAATTAATTCAGAATCTGGGATTGATTTATTTTTTTCTTTATCACATTTTAGGGGGCAGTACATTAAACTCAAACTTTGGTTTATTGAATCAAAACAAAAATCTAGCATTTGATTATATTAAAATATTTGAATCTAGAAAGACATCTTCGTGAACTGTGATGTTCAGTGTTTGAGCTTACATATTTATTTCTACTCTCTTGACAGCCTGGAATATGATGAGAATACTTCCATCATCTTTAGACCTAACTCAAAGGTAATTATGGAAGTCAGTTTTCAACTTGTCATTACTATTTGCTCTCAACTCCATTTAAAGTTTTTGATCCATATAAATCAGTGTTGCAGAATGTCATCTCTTATCTGATTCTTCTAGCATCTAGACACTATTTTATAATGCAGTAAAGACGTCGTAATGTTTTTTACCTATAAAGCTCTTTCTTCCTCTTTCGAGTCAAGAAGAGGCCAGCATTTGTGCTTTACCGTCTTTCATTTAGATAGGCAAGTTCAGAAGATGACAGGCAGGCAAATTGTTATTAGACACTACTGTGCCTTAATTAAAGTTTCTTTTAAAAGTACGTATTTCATATTTTTCCTTTCGTATAAAATGTATGCCTTTTTTCTTGATATGCCAGATGCCATGCTGGAAGCATTTAGTGGCAGATTTGAAATGCAAACATAATTATGACCTGGTATGGTGCTACTCAGCTTGCTGTTTGGTTTTGGGGGGGATGGGTATTAAATCATTTGTATCCTGTTTAGACTGCAAATTGTCTTTGTTATCTGTTTATCTTCCTTCCAGTGGGATTTCTGTTCAGTCTGTCAATCCTTGGCTGGTCTTTGAACCCTTCTTCTGGTCCACAGTTTCCCTGTATAGTCTAACAAAGAAATATTAATTTCTTTTTTTCCTTATTGTGCCTCCAGAAGGGGCCCTGGTAACACTTATAACTTCATCATTACCCAACATGGTGGGGTGGAAACAGAACTCTGAAGTCAGGGCCTTTGGTTTCTATTGCAGGCTCTTCTTCACATGCTCTGGTTTTCTTATTTCCTAAAAGGGAATGACAATATCTGCTCTCTTAATTATGAAGATCTAGCTATTAATGTAGGTAAACTCTAAAAAGCATAAAGTTATTTTTATCTTATAGGGAAATACTGAAGGTTAATGGCATTGGCAAAAGTCTTTAATCTTTTTAGGAGAAAGTTTGTTTGCAAAAACCATTTGTATAATGCCTCTGGGTTCCCTTACTTTTTTTTTTTTTTTTTTGAGACCGAGTCTTGCTCTGTCGCCCAGGCTAGAGTGTGCAGTGGTGTAATCTTGGCTCACTGCAACCTCCACCTTCTGGGTTCAAGCAATTCTCTGCCTCAGTCTCCTGATTATCTGGGATTACAAGTGCTTGCCACCACGCCCGGCTAATTTTTGTAATTTTAGTAGGCACGGGGTTTCACCATCTTGGTCAGGCTGGTCTTCAACTCCTGACCTTGTGATCCACCCACCTC